TCCTACTAAAGGTTTCTTATCAAGGTTCCTACTAGAGTTTCCTTATCAAGGTTCTTACTGAAGGTTCCTTATCAAGGTTCCTACTAGAGGTTCCTTATCAAGGTTCCTACTAAAGGTTCCTTATCAAGGTTCCTACTAGAGTTTCCTTATCAAGGTTCTTACTGAAGGTTCCTTATCAAGGTTCCTACTAGAGTTTCCTTATCAAGGTTCCTTGTCAAGGTTCCTACTAGAGGTTCCTTATCAAGGTTCCTACTAGAGGTTCCTTATCAAGGTTCTTACTAAAGGTTCCTTATCAAGGTTCCTACTAGAGTTTTCTTATCAAGGTTCTTACTGAAGGTTCCTTATCAAGGTTCCTACTAAAGGTTCCTTATCAAGGTTCCTACTAAAGGTTCCTTATCAAGGTTCCTACTAGAGTTTCCTTATCAAGGTTCTTACTGAAGGTTCCTTATCAAGGTTCCTACTAGAGTTTCCTTATCAAGGTTCTTACTGAAGGTTCCTTATCAAGGTTCCTACTATAGGTTCCTTATCAAGGTTCCTACTAGAGTTTCCTTATCAAGGTTCTTACTGAAGGTTCCTTATCAAGGTTCCTACTAAAGGTTCCTTATCAAGGTTCCTACTAAAGGTTCCTTATCAAGGTTCCTACTAGAGTTTCCTTATCAAGGTTCTTACTGAAGGTTCCTTATCAAGGTTCCTACTAGAGTTTCCTTATCAAGGTTCTTACTGAAGGTTCCTTATCAAGGTTCCTACTAAAGGTTCCTTATCAAGGTTCCTGCTGAAGGTTCCTTATCAAGGTTCCTACTAAAGGTTCCTTATCAAGGTTCCTACTAAAGGTTCCTTATCAAGGTTCCTACTAGAGTTTCCTTATCAAGGTTCCTGCTGAAGGTTCCTTATCAAGGTTCCTACTAGAGTTTCCTAATCAAGGTTCCTGCTGAAGGTTCCTTATCAAGGTTCCTACTAAAGGTTCCTTATCAAGGTTCCTACTAAAGGTTCCTTATCAAGGTTCCTACTAGAGTTTCCTTATCAAGGTTCTTACTGAAGGTTCCTTATCAAGGTTCCTACTAGAGGTTCCTTATCAAGGTTCCTACTAAAGGTTCCTTATCAAGGTTCCTACTAGAGTTTCCTTATCAAGGTTCTTACTGAAGGTTCCTTATCAAGGTTCCTACTAGAGTTTCCTTATCAAGGTTCCTTGTCAAGGTTCCTACTAGAGGTTCCTTATCAAGGTTCCTACTAGAGGTTCCTTATCAAGGTTCTTACTAAAGGTTCCTTATCAAGGTTCCTACTAGAGTTTTCTTATCAAGGTTCTTACTGAAGGTTCCTTATCAAGGTTCCTACTAAAGGTTCCTTATCAAGGTTCCTACTAAAGGTTCCTTATCAAGGTTCCTACTAGAGTTTCCTTATCAAGGTTCTTACTGAAGGTTCCTTATCAAGGTTCCTACTAGAGTTTCCTTATCAAGGTTCTTACTGAAGGTTCCTTATCAAGGTTCCTACTAAAGGTTCCTTATCAAGGTTCCTACTAGAGTTTCCTTATCAAGGTTCCTGCTGAAGGTTCCTTATCAAGGTTCCTACTAAAGGTTCCTTATCAAGGTTCCTACTAGAGTTTCCTTATCAAGGTTCCTGCTGAAGGTTCCTTATCAAGGTTCCTACTAGAGTTTCCTTATCAAGGTTCTTACTGAAGGTTCCTTATCAAGGTTCCTACTAAAGGTTCCTTATCAAGGTTCCTACTAAAGGTTCCTTATCAAGGTTCCTACTAGAGTTTCCTTATCAAGGTTCCTACTAAAGGTTCCTTATCAAGGTTCCTACTAAAGGTTCCTTATCAAGGTTCCTACTAGAGTTTCCTTATCAAGGTTCTTACTGAAGGTTCCTTATCAAGGTTCCTACTAGAGTTTCCTTATCAAGGTTCCTTGTCAAGGTTCCTACTAGAGGTTTCTTATCAAGGTTCCTACTAGAGGTTCCTTATCAAGGTTCTTACTAAAGGTTCCTTATCAAGGTTCCTACTAGAGTTTTCTTATCAAGGTTCTTACTGAAGGTTCCTTATCAAGGTTCCTACTAAAGGTTCCTTATCAAGGTTCCTACTAAAGGTTCCTTATCAAGGTTCCTACTAGAGTTTCCTTATCAAGGTTCTTACTGAAGGTTCCTTATCAAGGTTCCTACTAGAGTTTCCTTATCAAGGTTCTTACTGAAGGTTCCTTATCAAGGTTCCTACTAAAGGTTCCTTATCAAGGTTCCTACTAGAGTTTCCTTATCAAGGTTCTTACTGAAGGTTCCTTATCAAGGTTCCTACTAAAGGTTCCTTATCAAGGTTCCTACTAAAGGTTCCTTATCAAGGTTCCTACTAGAGTTTCCTTATCAAGGTTCTTACTGAAGGTTCCTTATCAAGGTTCCTACTAAAGGTTCCTTATCAAGGTTCCTACTAAAGGTTCCTTATCAAGGTTCCTACTAGAGTTTCCTTATCAAGGTTCTTACTGAAGGTTCCTTATCAAGGTTCCTACTAAAGGTTCCTTATCAAGGTTCCTACTAAAGGTTCCTTATCAAGGTTCCTACTAGTTTCCTTATCAAGGTTCCTGCTGAAGGTTCCTTATCAAGGTTCCTACTAGAGTTTCCTTATCAAGGTTCCTACTGAAGGTTCCTTATCAAGGTTCTTACTAAAGGTTCCTTATCAAGGTTCCTACTAGAGTTTCCTTATCAAGGTTCTTACTGAAGGTTCCTTATCAAGGTTCCTACTAGAGGTTCCTTATCAAGGTTCTTACTGAAGGTTCCTTATCAAGGTTCCTACTAGAGGTTCTTTATCAAGGTTCCTACTAAAGGTTCCTTATCAAGGTTCCTACTAGAGTTTCCTTATCAAGGTTCTTACTGAAGGTTCCTTATCAAGGTTCCTACTAAAGGTTCCTTATCAAGGTTCTTACTGAAGGTTCCTTATCAAGGTTCCTACTAGAGTTTCCTTATCAAGGTTCCTTGTCAAGGTTCCTACTATAGGTTCCTTATCAAGGTTCCTACTAGAGGTTCCTTATCAAGGTTCTTACTAAAGGTTCCTTATCAAGGTTCCTACTAGAGTTTTCTTATCAAGGTTCTTACTGAAGGTTCCTTATCAAGGTTCCTACTAAAGGTTCCTTATCAAGGTTCCTACTAAAGGTTCCTTATCAAGGTTCCTACTAGAGTTTCCTTATCAAGGTTCTTACTGAAGGTTCCTTATCAAGGTTCCTACTAGAGTTTCCTTATCAAGGTTCTTACTGAAGGTTCCTTATCAAGGTTCCTACTAAAGGTTCCTTATCAAGGTTCCTACTAGAGTTTCCTTATCAAGGTTCCTGCTGAAGGTTCCTTATCAAGGTTCCTACTAAAGGTTCCTTATCAAGGTTCCTACTAAAGGTTCCTTATCAAGGTTCCTACTAGAGTTTCCTTATCAAGGTTCCTGCTGAAGGTTCCTTATCAAGGTTCCTACTAGAGTTTCCTTATCAAGGTTCCTGCTGAAGGTTCCTTATCAAGGTTCCTACTAAAGGTTCCTTATCAAGGTTCCTACTAAAGGTTCCTTATCAAGGTTCCTACTAGAGTTTCCTTATCAAGTATCTTACTGAAGGTTCATTATCAAGGTTCCTACTAGAGGTTCCTTATCAAGGTTCCTACTAAAGGTTCCTTATCAAGGTTCCTACTAGAGTTTCCTTATCAAGGTTCTTACTGAAGGTTCCTTATCAAGGTTCCTACTAAAGGTTCCTTATCAAGGTTCCTACTAAAGGTTCCTTATCAAGGTTCCTACTAGAGTTTCCTTATCAAGGTTCTTACTGAAGGTTCCTTATCAAGGTTCCTACTAGAGTTTCCTTATCAAGGTTCCTTGTCAAGGTTCCTACTAGAGGTTCCTTATCAAGGTTCCTACTAGAGGTTCCTTATCAAGGTTCTTACTAAAGGTTCCTTATCAAGGTTCCTACTAGAGTTTTCTTATCAAGGTTCTTACTGAAGGTTCCTTATCAAGGTTCCTACTAAAGGTTCCTTATCAAGGTTCCTACTAAAGGTTCCTTATCAAGGTTCCTACTAGAGTTTCCTTATCAAGGTTCTTACTGAAGGTTCCTTATCAAGGTTCCTACTAGAGTTTCCTTATCAAGGTTCTTACTGAAGGTTCCTTATCAAGGTTCCTACTAAAGGTTCCTTATCAAGGTTCCTACTAGAGTTTCCTTATCAAGGTTCTTACCGAAGGTTCCTTATCAAGGTTCCTACTAAAGGTTCCTTATCAAGGTTCCTACTAAAGGTTCCTTATCAAGGTTCCTACTAGAGTTTCCTTATCAAGGTTCTTACTGAAGGTTCCTTATCAAGGTTCCTACTAGAGTTTCCTTATCAAGGTTCTTACTGAAGGTTCCTTATCAAGGTTCCTACTAGAGTTTCCTTATCAAGGTTCTTACTAAAGGTTCCTTATCAAAGTTCCTACTAGAGTTTCCTTATCAAGGTTCTTACTGAAGGTTCCTTATCAAGGTTCCTACTAGAGTTTCCTTATCAAGGTTCCTACTAAAGGTTCCTTATCAAGGTTCCTACTAAAGGTTCCTTATCAAGGTTCCTACTAGAGTTTCCTTATTAAGGTTCTTACTAAAGGTTCCTTATCAAGGTTCCTACTAGAGTTTCCTTATCAAGGTTCTTACTGAAGGTTCCTTATCAAGGTTCCTACTAAAGGTTCCTTATCAAGGTTCCTACTAGAGTTTCCTTATCAAGGTTCTTACTGAAGGTTCCTTATCAAGGTTCCTACTAGAGTTTTCTTATCAAGGTTCTTACTAAAGGTTCCTTATCAAGGTTCCTACTAAAGGTTCCTTATCAAGGTTCCTACTAAAGGTTCCTTATCAAGGTTCCTACTAAAGGTTCCTTATCAAGGTTCCTACTAAAGGTTCCTTATCAAGGTTCCTACTAGAGGTTCCTAATCAAGGTACCTACTGAAGGTTCCTAATCAAGGTTCCTACTGAACCGATGCTCCGCCCACCAGTCAGAAGCTCCTCCCTGCTCAGGATTAAGCTCCGCCCCGTCCTCACCCAGATCTGCAACTTGATCCTCTTGTCGTTGCGGTAAACGGTCTTGACCTTGAAGTCGATGCCGACGGTACTGACGAAGGAGTTGCTGAAGGAGTCGTCGGCGTAGCGGAACAGGAAGGACGTCTTTCCGACGCTGCTGTTCCCGATGATCAGCAGCTTGAACATGTAGTCGAAGTTCTGGTCAGATCCGTCCCGCTGGCCGTAGCGCTGGTCTGCCTTCGCCATCTGGGGGCGCAAGAGGACAAGTCACGAGATCGCCAGAATGACGGCCACTTCTAGCAGGCATAATAATTACGACCACCGATTACCCGGCTCACTCCTGCCAACAGCAGAACTTCCTGTTTCCCAGATTGATGAAGAAAAACTGGTCAGAACTGCTGATGATTCTGATGCCAGGAGAGGAAGTGGTCGGTCTGTAACAGGAAGTGGTCGGTCTGTAACAGGAAGTGGTCTGACTATCATCTGATGTGGGCTGAACTGGTTCCTGAGAAGGAAGGTCCAGTTGGACCTCATGTCAGGAAAGTTGTTCTGTGTTTTGTTCTGGAGACGAACCCTGGAACATTTCTCAACCAAACCAGACCAATCAGCCAGGAGAACCTCTGACCTTTTGACCTCAACCAGACACCTGGGTGGAGGGCCCAAGATGGAGCCCTGATGGGCCCCACTGCGAGTCCCAAAGGAGGAAATCCAGCTGTTGGTGGAACCAGAACTGGTGTCCTGTCTGTGTGTGCTACCCATCAATCCGTCTTACCTTGTGGTAACAATCTGCTGAGTCAGCAGATTTCTTCTCAATCCGTCCTGCCTGTGGAAGTTTAGTTTCAGGTGTTTTATTTCATCACAGATGACAGTAATCTTTATTTCATTGATTTTCTCTCATGAAGCAGCTGGATTACTAGCAGCTTGTCAATGGAATGATGGTTTAGTTTGCTCTGCACTGTCCTTACTGTAAACAAGTTATTATTTGGTGGTTAATCAGGACTAAATATGTTTTGGTTTTTTGTCCCTATACGTTAAAATATGTTAGTTTAATTCCACTCTTGTCGACTAAACTTGCTAAATAGATGTTAGCGATACGATGTGAAGCTGTAATATCAGTGCATATGAATCATATCCCATCATTTCAGTGACACGTTGTGGCTGATGCTGATAACATATAAAGTATTAATGCACAAAAACCGTTCCAGTGATCTGGATTAGTGTTTAATTCCAATAAAAGCTGTTTCCATCTGATCCGGTTTTATTCTAACAAACGCCTCTGTGTCTCAGATATTAACAGCTAGATATTGTAGGAAAGGATCAGCTGCATCTGCAGCTTTTCATTTCAAACTTTGGTAGGATATTCAGATGAAGGAAGTGATCTGCTTCTGGTTTCATCATCATATCAATTGTTCAATGCTAAGCTAACCAGAACTGCTAAGCTTCCAGTCACTAAATGATCCAATTATTGAACATTAACAAGCCGCTGCAGTTTGTTTGTAAACATGGCGGTAGCAGCTTTAGACGGGTAGCACGGACAGACAGAGCCAGCTGTCGATCCGTGCTGCGGTAGGGAAATCTGACGGGGTAGCTCAGATCGTCAGGACACCTGAGGAACATCGACTCGTCTGATTGGACCCTGAGCTCAGAGCTCCACAGGTGGACCGCACATGCTTGCAACCAGGCAACCAGGCAACCAGGCAACCAGGCAACCAGGCAACTAGGCAACCGGGCAACTAGGCAACCAGGCAACTAGGCAACCAGGCAACTAGGCAACCAGGCAACCAGGCAACTAGGCAACCAGGCAACTAGGCAACCAGGCAACTAGGCAACCAGGCAACTAGGCAACTAGGCAACCAGGCAACTAGGCAACCAGGCAACTAGGCAACTAGGCAACTAGGCAACTAGGCAACCAGGCAACTAGGCAACTAGGCAACCAGGCAACTAGGCAACCAGGCAACTAGGCAACCAGGCAACCAGGCAACTAGGCAACTAGGCAACCGGGCAACTAGGCAACCAGGCAACCAGGCAACCAGGCAACTAGGCAACCAGGCAACCAGGCAACTAGGCAACCAGGCAACTAGGCAACTAGGCAACCAGGCAACCAGGCAACTAGGCAACCAGGCAACCAGGCAACTAGGCAACTAGGCAACCAGGCAACTAGGCAACCGGGCAACTAGGCAACCAGGCAACCAGGCAACCAGGCAACTAGGCAACCAGGCAACTAGGCAACTAGGCAACCAGGCAACCAGGCAACCAGGCAACGGGCAACCAGGCAACCAGGCAACCAGGCAACCAGGCAACCAGGCAACTAGGCAACTAGGCAACAGGCAACTAGGCAACCAGGCAACCAGGCAACCAGGCAACTAGGCAACCAGGCAACTAGGCAACCAGGCAACTAGGCAACTAGGCAACCGGGCAACTAGGCAGGCAACCAGGCAACTAGGCAACTAGGCAACCAACTAGGCCGGGCAACCAGGCAACCAGGCAACCAGGCAACTAGGCCAGGCAACCAGGCAACTAGGCAACCAGGCAACTAGGCAACCGGGCAACTAAAACCGGGCAACTAGGCAACCAGGCAACCAGGCAACCAGGCAACTAGGCAACCGGGCAACTAGGCAACCAGGCAACTAGGCAACTAGGCAACCAGGCAACCAGGCAACTAGGCAACCAGGCAACTAGGCAACGGGCAACCAGGCAACTAGGCAACCAGGCAACTAGGCAACCGGGCAACCAGGCAACCAGGCAACTAGGCAACCAGGCAACCAGGCAACCAGGCAACTAGGCAACCAGGCAACCAGGCAACTAGGCAACCAGGCAACTAGGCAACCAGGCAACCAGGCAACTAGGCAACTAGGCAACTAGGCAACCAGGCAACCAGGCAACTAGGCAACCAGGCAACTAGGCAACCAGGCAACCAGGCAACCAGGCAACCAGGCAACTAGGCAACCAGGCAACTAGGCAACTAGGCAACCAGGCAACTAGGCAACCAGGCAACTAGGCAACCAGGCAACTAGGCAACCAGGCAACCAGGCAACCGGGCAACCAGGCAGGCAGGCTAGGCAACCAGGCAACCAGGCAACTAGGCAACCAGGCAACTAGGCAACCAGGCAACTAGGCAACCAGGCAACTAGGCAACCAGGCAACTAGGCAACTAGGCAACCAGGCAACTAGGCAACCAGGCAACTAGGCAACCAGGCAACTAGGCAACCAGGCAACCAGGCAACCAGGCAACCAGGCAACCAGGCAACCAGGCAACCAGCAGGAGACCTGCAGATGAAGAACATTTGTCTGGTGGTTCTAACTGTCATGGAGTCCAGAGGTTCTGATGGTTCTGGAGGTTTTGACGCAGACCAGAACTGTACCTTGTTGTTATGGGAACCAGCTGGATCCATCCCATCAGAACCATGACCAGAACCATGACCTGGTTCTGATGAAGAACTCTCAGGAGGTTCTGTCCCATTGAGCTCAGCAGCAGCTCAGTGGTTTGCTAGTGAAAACAGGAAACTGAGTCCGAACCCGCTGGGTCACTGCGGTTCTGGTTGGGTTCTGCAGCTGGAGCAGCTGGACCCATCAGAGAAGGAGGTCACCTATCCACCACCAACTGGTTCTGGTTCTGGTTCTGGTTCCGGTTCTGATTCTGGTTCCGGTTCTCTACCTAGAAACAGAAACATCTGCAGAATTTCTGATGGGTCGACTTGATTAGAAGGTTCTGTTCTGGCCCAACAGAACCCCCGGAGTTCTGTTTTGGTTCTGGGCCTGCAGAGACCAGATCCCTGCAGAAAGCACCAACAGAACCAACAGAACCGCGACCAGACAGAATAAGGTTCTGATCCAACTTGTTTGGATCAGAGAAGATCAGCAGCCAGTCAGACTCCACCCTGGGTTCGGTTCGGTTCTGGTTCGGTGTAGATGTGCGGCGGGCTCACCTCAGCTGGGCGGGTCCGATGCGCGCTCCCTGCAGCAGAATAAAACCCAGAGCGGTTCCGGACCGGAACACAGTCAGAACCAGCAGCTCCGCTTCAGCCAAACCGAGTCGCTCTCCGCGCGCGCGGCTTCACGCGGACCTGCTGAATGGTGAGAGGCGGCAGCCAATCAGAGAGCGGCTCCGTGCCGCGCGCGGTGACTCATGGCTCCGAGTCCATCTGCGGCTCGCGCCCGCGCGCGTGCACGCGCTGGGTCTGAAGATGAAAACAAGAGAAATAAAACCAGAAAATGGAAGAAAAATAAAGTCAAAATGTTTAAAAACCATGAAAGAAATAAAAACAGGAAAAGAACCGAGACAGAAAAGGACCGAGACAGAAAAGGACCAGACGTTCTGGACGGTTTCTGATCAATATCTGGATTATTGATCACACTGAGGAGAAAAATGCAACAAGCAAATGAATGAATGAATGAGTCTAACTGTGAGTTGAACATCGGAACCAGGAAGTCTTGATGGAGGTTTCCCTTAAAGGGCCGGTGTCGTTCAAGATCCGATTTTTAATCTTTCCATCATGTTTCTCCCTGGAGTCTCATTTTGGCAACGTCATGTTTGAGAAGGGTTTTAATCTCCATGGCAACCTTTCACCTGGCCCTAGCCCCGCCTACAAAGCGCAGCTCCTCCCCCTCTCAGCTCCTTCAGACTAGCCAGCAGCAGTTAGCAAACGCCATAGGAACTGCTGATCAGAGCAGTGCTGGTAAAACATTAAAGGGTTAATAGAGGAGCCATGTTGGAAAGACTTCCTGGAGGCGGAGCTTCAGGAAGAGCAGGAGGTTTTAAAGAGACAGAAATGCTAAATCAGGAAGTAACAATTCTGATATAACATTTTTATAACAACTGAAGGTGACATAGTTACTTTATTATGCATTACTCATTTTAAAGCATATTTAATTGTATGTTATGTTTTACCTGTAATGTTATGAACACTTTGCTCAGCAAAGGTTGTTGTAAATGTTGACATAGAAAACAGATAATTATGATTCTTTTAGGAGTTGAATTCATACAATTATTGTGCTGATGGAACATTATAAACCAATAAAATCTATTTAATGCAGAAACTATGAACAGAAGGAAAAGCATGTTGAATAGCTGATTAAAGGTTATTTGAGGGATATTATTTGTATGTATTATAAATGATATTATGGACAGATTAGCTGTGATTGTTTTGCCTCTACATGCCTGCATGTCAAGGTTGTAACTTTCAGTTTAATCAGCAGCTGATAAAATGATAAAATATATCAATAAATGAGGTTTTGTGTTGTTTTTTTAATGGTTTGGTTCCAACTTTTCACTTAAGCACCAAACCCAGGTTTCCAACATGTTTGTCCATTTATGATTTTTCAATGCTGATATAAGAGGAGAGAAGCTGCTGACAGCAGGACACAAACACTTCAGACTCACTGAGAGGATGAGAGCTAACCTTTGACCTCATAACGTCAAACCGGTGGCTCGATCATACTATGACAGTCATTGAGAGTTTGAAAATATTTTCCAAAGTTATGAGGGAACCAAATATTTCAGCTGCCTGAAATAATCTGTTCCCTGTTCAACCCTCTTTGGAGGGGAACAGATTATGTCAGGCAGCTGAAATATTCGGTTCCCTCATAACTTTGGCAAATAATGAGCAAGTCTTACCAAAATCATTTGTTGTTGATGAACAAGCGCAGTTCAAGACTTGCTGGTGAATGAATTTGTTCCCGCGTTATTAGAGGGGAACTGATGGCCTCTCTGGCCGCAGTGCGCGCTCCCGACACAGGGGGGCAGACAAGAGCAGTTCCCTGAACATGAGTGCGCCACAGTCTGAGGCGCTTCCTGTCGCCGGGTGGCGCTGTTTCCGCCTCCTGACGCAGAAGAAGAGCGCGGCGCGCGCTGATTGGCTGCAGTCGGGGGCGTGCAGCGGAGAGCACAGATGGCGGCGGTGACCAGAGGATCCTTCAGCGCTCTCAGAGTTCTGGTGAGGAGCAAACCGAGCCGGAACCGCGCCGAAACGAACCCGAAACACGCAGGAACCCAACCAGGCCGCTCTGCGTTTTAGCGCCTGCGCGGCTGAAGCTACAAGCTCCTGGTGACGCAGGCGTTACGTCACAGCGGTGCTAACTGGGTTGTGATGGTCCGAGTCGGGTTCTGTCTGTCCGGAACCGAGCCGGTGGGCTCCCCCCAGCTGCTGGTTCCAGTGGAGTCCAGAGGTTCTGCTGCTGACGGCTCGGTCCAGTTGGATCCCAGCTGTTGGTCATAATGTTCTGCCTGCTCTGGGACGTGGAGAGGGTTCCATCAGAACACGAACCCAACTCCGGATTTATGTGGTTCCGAGCTTTCAGTCCAGTCAGTTTGTCCAGAACTTCTCCAGGTTCTGCTTAGTTTAGATTTCAGGATAAATCCCTGATCTGGGAATGACTGCATGGAACCAGAACCGGAAGAAGCTTGCAACTGGACCCGGAACCGGACCCGGACCTTAAAACAACAGCAACAAACAGCCACCAGCATCTCATTGTTTCCTGATCTGATGTAACATCAGGAAGGAGTTGACCCATTGTTGCCATGGTGATGCCAGCATCCCAGGGCCAACAGGAAGTCCAACAGGAAGTCCAACAGGAAGTCCAACAGGAAGTCCTGGACTTTCCACAGGAAGTCCAGGACCATCAGATCATTGAGGTTTCACACCAGAGCAATAAATGAATAAATGAAGCTGCAACATTCAGAGAGTAACTAGGAGTCGCTTTGACCTTTGACCCTCGATGGAGGACTTAAAGCCTTTCAGTGGGACAAGCTGCTTTTGGGGTTTAGTTGTGAGTTTTTCCCTCCAAGACGTTTTCCTGAGGCGGGTTGGAGGAAAATGTTCTGAGGTCCATTTGAGATCAGGAGCAGATTGTTGTTTTAACTGAACCTTTAATCACATCCCACTGAACACCAGTAACTCTGGTTCTGGTTCTGGTTCTTTCTGCCAGCTGACCCAGCAGTACCGCCGGAGGAGTTTTGGACCCCAGAACCTGAGGCTGAGCAGAACCGAGCCGGCGCCGCCCAGATGGGCCGCGTCGCTGCAGTCGTCCTGCAGGAGAACGCTGCAGACCGCCGTGGGTAAGTCCAAACCGGTTCCCGTCTGGACCGTCCCCGCGTCCCGGAGGATGCAGTGGCTATGGCGACCTGCAGCCACAACAACGGGGCTGACGGCGTCTCTGTCCTGCAGAGCGGCGCCGACCCGTGGTCCAGTTCAAGCTGTCCGACATCGGAGAGGGCATCATGGAGGTCACGGTCAAGGAGTGGTAGGAACCAGGCCCGGTTCTGCTGGGCCGCAGAACCATTCGTTAGCTTTTATTAGCTTCTCATTGCTTCCATTAGCTCCTGTTAGCTGCCATTAGCTCCCGTTAGCTCCTGTTAGCTGCCATTAGCTCCCTTTAGCTCCTGTTAGCTGCCATTAGCTCCCGTTAGCTCCTGTTAGCTGCCATTAGCTCCTGTTAGCTGCCATTAGCTCCTGTTAGCTGCTGTTAGCTCCCGTTAGCTCCTGTTAGCTGCCGTTAGCTCCTGTTAGCTGCCATTAGCTCCTGTTAGCTGCCATTAGCTGCTGTTAGCTCCCGTTAGCTCCTGTTAGCTGCCATTAGCTCCTGTTAGCTGCCATTAGCTCCTGTTAGCTGCTGTTAGCTCCCGTTAGCTCCTGTTAGCTGCCGTTAGCTCCTGTTGCCTTCCTTTAGCTCACGTTTGCTGTGACCTTCTGACCAGCCGCTACACCGGGTCTCACCTGTCTCAGGTACGTGAAGGAGGGGGACAGAGTGTCTCAGTTTGACAGCATCTGCGAGGTCCAGAGCGACAAAGCGTCCGTCACCATCACCAGCCGCTACGACGGCGTCATCAGGAGGCTGTACTATGAAGCCGACGCCACGGCCCTGGTGGGCAAGCCGCTGGTGGACATCGAGACGGAGTCTGCATCAGGTGAGGAGCCGCCGCCCGTTCCGTCCGGTCCCGTCCGTCGCATCGGGACCACTCGTCTCTGATGTCTGTCCCCCAGAGCTGAGCCAGGAGGATGTGGTGGAGACGCCTGCCATGGCCCGTGAGGAGCACACCCACCAAGAGATCAAAGGTCACAAGACCCAAGCCACGCCCGCCGTCCGCCGCCTCGCCATGGAGAACAACGTGAGTCTGTCCCAGGTCCCTGTCCATGGTGTCCGTCCCGTCGTTCCTGAGCCGATCAGGCGGTGGCAGCTCTGACCACCACGTGATCCGGAGATGGATCCGAGGAGTCGGTCCGCGGTGGACAGAAGGTCCAGACCAGGTATGTGATGTCTCTGCTGCGTTCCCTCAGATCAAGCTCAGTGAAGTGGTGGGGACGGGGAAGGATGGACGCATCCTGAAGGAGGACATCCTGAACTTCCTGGCCAAGCAGACCGGCGCCATCTTGCCTCCAGCTCCGCTCTTCCAGGAGATCCAGACTCCAGGCCCCGCCCCCACACCGCCCCTCAGCGCCCCAGCTGGGGTCAGACCTCCACCTGCGACTCCAAGACCCGACTTCACCGGGAAGGACGTCACTGAGCCGCTCAAAGGTCAGAACCGTTGGACCAGAACTCGGTACCGGGTCACGCGATGTCAGCTGTAGCCTCTTCGTTTGTCTGCAGGTTTCCACAAAGCCATGGTGAAGACGATGACGGCGGCGCTGAAGATCCCTCACTTCGGTTACTGTGACGAGGTCGACCTGAGCCGACTGGTTCTGCTGCGGTCCGAACTGAAGCCGGTCGCCGAGAGACGCGGCGTCAGACTCAGCTACCTGCCCTTCTTCATCAAGGTGAGCGCATCGCTCAGACCGGAGCTGCCGGTTGGTTGAGGGTTGAACGGCGATGTTGTGATTGGCTGAACTCTCTCTCAGGCCGCCTCCCTCAGCCTGCTTCGCTTCCCCATCCTGAACTCCACGCTGGACGAAAGCTGCCAGAACATCACCTTCAAGGTGAGGCGGTCGGCAACGCGTCACCGACACGGATACATGTCGCTGACGCTGCGTCTCGGCAGGCGTCCCACAACATCGGCGTTGCCATGGACACCAGCCTGGGCCTGCTGGTCCCCAGCGTGAAGAGCGTCCAGCTGCTCAGCGTCTTCCAGGTGGCCCAGGAGTTGACCCGGCTGCAGACGCTGGGCGCCGCCGGCCAGCTGGGCACGGCCGAGCTGAGCGGGGGAACCTTCA